AAATGTGTACTTTATTCATTTACAATAAATTCATAATGTACATAATTCTGATTGAAGCCAAGGGCATACAACTGTCTAACACCTATAACCCCCCTTCCACCTGGTCCAGAGCATCCTCCTTTTGCACTTCCTGTAAGTAACACTTCGCCCCAAGATCCTCCTATGTCAGATGGTAGTTCTACTATTCCACTTCGTCATTCTACTCGTATTTCTCGACCTCCTGGCCGCTATGGTTTTCCTTCAAACCATAGTTTCTTTTCTGTTATACTTTAGTCCACAGATATTCCTAGATCTTATCAGCAAGCCATTAGAAGTCCTCAGTGGAAAGAAGCCATGGATGCCAAAATTCAAGCCCTCCATGAGAATGATACTTGAGATCTTCTGCCTGCTCCTCCAAATGCTTATATTGTTGGAAGGTGTTGGGTCTATACGATCAAACTGAAGTCAGATGGTTCCCTTGATCGATATAAGGCTTGGTTAGTTGCCCAAGGATACAGTCAGGAATATGGAATTGATTATGAAGAAACTTTGCCTCGATTGCTAAGATCACCACAATTCGGACTCTTCTAGCCATATATTTTTTTTATCAATCTCTTCTAGCCATATTTTCTATTCATTCTTGGACTATCTACCAACTAGACGTTAAGAATGATTTTCTTCATGGTCAATTGAAGGAGACAGTCTACATGAAGCCTCCAACTGGATATTGCAGTGATTCTTCATGTGTCTGTCGCCTAAAGAAATCCTTATATGGTCTAAAGCAGGCACCCAGGGTTTGGTTTGAGCACTTTCGAGATGTTGCAACTGGGTATAATCAGAGTTCCTCTGATTACTCTCTCTTTGTTAAGAGAAGGCCCTAGGGTATCACTATTCTACTGTTGTATGTTGATGACATGCTTTTAACTGGGGATGATCATGATGGCATTTGTGAGTTGAAGTCCTTACTTCATAACTCCTTTCACATGAAGGACTTGGGCCCCCTTACTATTTTTTGGGTTTGGAAGTCCATCATAGCAGTCGAGGGTACTTCATTTGTCAGCAAAAATATGCCTCTAATCTCGTCAAACTAGCTGGAATTACTGATGAGAAACATGTTGATACCCCTTTGGAGTAGAATGTCAAGTTGTCTAAATCTGAAGGCTAATTCTTCCTGATGCTACTTTGTACCTTCAACTTGTTAGCTCTCTAATCTATCTCACTATGATTCGGCCTGATATTTCACATGTTGTTCAGGTCGTTAGTCAATCTGTTTATGTCCCTCGACAACCTCATATGACTGATGTTCGCCGCATCATCCGTTATGTTAGAGATAATCAAAAGGCATTCCAAATGTTGAGCATGACCTAAAAACAGAACACTAAGAGCAACAAGGGAAGACTTTAAGAAGGAATTCATACTTTTATAAGGCCACTTGTCTTGTCAAGCTCATACTTAACCTTGCTACCCTTGCTAATTTCAACCACCTGTAGAGGAACTTCAGAATAAGATTTGATTGGAAGCAGAATTCATGAGACATAAATAACTACCAGTAACAAGTTGCAACTTAACATCAGCCAAAATGCTTCAGGCCTGGTTCAATAATAACCTTGCTGCCTCAGGCATTCACCCACACATGACCTCCATGCTAAAACACACATAACCAAAGCTTTTGCCAATGAAGAAATCGTTTTTTCATGTAGAGGTCATAATACTACAAACATTAGCATAGGCGCATGTGCATGGGAGTGTGATGAACCTGGATTCATCATGGTGGGTACCTCTTGGAAGCATATGTCAACAGTAAGCGGTGTTTCGCTTTCCAGGCATGCTTTTAAAAGGCTTAGGTCAGGTAATAGGGCAGCCTGCTCTATTAACCTCTTAACTACACATTAAAAGCAGAAGAAGAAGAGTTAACTTACACAGTTGAAAACTGCTGGTGCTCCTGGTCCTGCATAAATTAAAAAACAAACATGAATACCCAAAGAAATAGGGTTCAAAAAAAATAAAATAAAAGAACCTTAAAGCTGAAAAGATTCCTAGTTAGATAGGTCTAAAAATGTTTCTTTTCTTGTGAATGGTGAGAGAGGTCTAAAATTGCTAATCAAGAACATAAGACGTATGGGAATAGAAAGTAACCAAAATAAATTGAAGAATTAAGAGATCTGATGCATGTTTTTATAAAAGGAAAATTATAAGGACACCTATGCTCATAGTCTGCACAAGAGAATCAAATCTAAGCTGCACATCTGATGCACCAGGACTGTGGACACTGCATCCCACCTCCCAGATGTGGAGCTAAGATTCCTGCAACCCTCAAGCACAGGAAATCTCATGTATACTTTGAAGGAAGTCTATCAATTCATAATAATCTATTTAAAGGAACAAAATAACTGCAATGTTGGACTAGCAGAGTACCAATCTCTAAGTCATGCCATGGATGAGCAGCAAAAGATCTTCGAGACATGGAAGAAAGGATTCTCTCGTTGAGAACAACAGGAGAAGAATATGCAAATTTCCCACTCCCTTCTCTATCGTTGTTAGCCATCTTTAGCTTTGAAATAACAGTAAGACATAAATATAAGTCTTAAGCAAATAATAAATCTCCTGCCAAACTCAGCTAACACCGAAACCACCAAAGAACAAACGGAGAAATTTCCATCTAAAAAGAAATAACAAATAAACAGCATGTAAAAACATAAAAAAGATAAAAAAAAATGAACCACATCTGATAGTAACACGCAACGGAAATAGGGAAAATTTTCTCAATCAGTTGGCCAAAACACTACAATGACCCGCCTGTTAAACAGAAAAATAGAATAACCAATAATAACATAACAATAACAACAATAAAAAGGCAATATAGGATAAGCTTAAAGCTGATAAAAACAAGAGCAGCAGTTGCAGAACATAAACAACTGCAGTTTCACCTACAAGAGAAGAGCAAAAGGCAATCATCAAGTACCATGCATAAAAAACAAAGACAAAATGGGACCAATAAGCTAAGGAATCCAGTAAAACTATGAGATCTAAAGTAGACTAAACACTGACTAAGGATCCCAAGTAACAGCAAAACTGTACTTTATATTCGTCGAGTTTGCAGTTTTAAACGTATTATTGGAGTAAATAAGTATTGATAGAAAATGCTCCTCAAAAAAGAAAATCGACGATGGCCATTAAAATGTTCTTGAAGTTATCAAGCAGGCAAAGTGAACTTACAGAGAAAGCCTCAGATACTTACAGAGAAGCAAAGAATATTTCTTCAGATCGATGGAGGAGATGAATACCGAATAGGAATAGAATATTCGATTTCTTTCTTCCCGGTTCTTAAAGCACGCTGAGTCGCTGAAGGACAAAAAGTAATCCTAACTTCACGGGCACTGTCTACCGGTCGGTCTCCTCTAAAAGGGTACGTTAGATGGAAACAGGATGATCATCTGACGGTTCACCCAATAAGCCATGTGGGATAACTTGGTTTCCGGATCGCAGCAAGTGGACAGCATGTCAGCATCCGACCGGAACATGTCACAACGAGGAATAACTGTTTAAACTCTGTAAATAAAACCGGTTCAAGTTCAACTATGATATTTCCAGGTGACTAGCCATGCAAGTGGAACAAAGGTAAAATACGCAGACTCAATCAAGAGCGAAGAGGTTGAATTGAACAGAAAATCATTTTACCTCTGAAGATTGAAGCTGCAGGAGTTCGGTTTATCCGATTTGTGTTTGAAAAAATTACAAAAAAAAAAAACGTTCAGATCGAAGGACTACCTTTACCACATGTTTGATTGTTTGGTGCGTTCCAGTTTGGAGATAAGGAAACGTAAGGTTTCTTGCCATTCATGACCAAAGCTGTCTATGGACTCCGAGAGTTCAGAATCCGATCCAATTGTCTTGAATTGGGGTAATCCATTTTACAAGTCGGACTAGTTTCAGCACAATTCTATCCAATCCAATTTCCCTATACCCGATCCGATTCAGATTGAAATCTGATTTCACTAATTGGGTCAAATTTGGGTGTTGTCATATCCATCCTCCAGATCCGAGTTGATATTTGGTATTGCCATATAGGTTCGGATAATCCACCAACTATCCCTACAGTTCTCCTTCATGACCTTTGTTAGCTAGCAAATTCGTCGCTTGATTGCCCTCCCTACGTACTTGATTGTAAGTTACCCTTGCTCTTTGCTTCAGCTGCATGATTTTTACTAGTTTAAGAATATGTAATCTTAAACCTTTTTTCTTGGTAGTAATATGAAACCACTTGTGTATTTATTTTGTTAAGAGCAAAGGTTCAAAGTATTGATACGATACGTATATTGGCTGTATTATATCGATATTTAGAACACAGTCGAAACACTTTTTTTTAGTTTTTTTCTCAAAATTTAGTTTTTTGGAAAGTTAAACATACATTTTTTTATTTTTGACGGTGATTTCTCATAAACAAAAAGCGGCTCTGAGAGAAGCCTATAAGAAGAAGAAGTTCGTGTCGCTTGATCTTCGTCATTGGTTTAGAGCTCCATTCAAGCGTTGTTCAGGAATAACTGTATTTTTTAGTGTGAAACCGCTCTCTCTCTCTCTCTCACACTTCTTCCTCTCCTCACACTTTCTTCACCCTGAATCTGAATACCCTTCCCTTTTATTTTAGGGTTTAGAGCTTCCGTGTGGCTTCTATATTTGAAGTTTAGGGTTTCCTCTGTCTCACCCTATTAGGGTTTATTGGATTCGTGCAGAACAAGCTTCAGCATCTGGCGGGACAGCATGCTGTTAACAATTAATTGTTTTTATATTTATTCACAAACCTGTAAATTCATTGGTTTAAGTGAACTCTGATGTAATGCGATCTGGCTAGAGGATGATTTGGTTTGGTTTCCAGTCGGACAGCGAGCTAGGTGAATATGCAAAACAAGATCAGAGAACCTGGGGTGGCTAACCCGGCGAGGTCGCTCCGATGCTTAAGTTAGTAATCTGATACGAGCTGAATATCTTTGAGAGCTTAGAGAGCTAGAGAGCTAGAGAGCTAGAGAGCAAAAAAATCACGCGTACCTTGTGCCCTCGGGGTTGGAGCCTTTATATAGTTGAGTCCTCGCGGGTCTTGCGGATCGGTTCCGTGATCTTTGTCATGATGGGATCTGTTTCAACTTTAATTGGGGGATAACGCAACCAACTAATAAAGCTTATCAATTTCGCCTGAACCAGACGGGAAGGAGATAAGGCTTGTCGTTACGCGGCGTGATCCCGCAAGGTTCGGGGTCTGTTGGAGAGATTTCTGGGATCGTCACGTAGTGGTCCGGGTCGGTATCCCCGAGTTGATACTTTTTAGTTTCCGAACTGGATTGAATGCCAAAGTGCCTTGGGGCCGGGGTGACCCTGTGCCGAGGTGGTTGAATATCCGAGCTCAACGATTGCGAACTAGGCGTGTCAGGCTGAGCTGTCATCTCTTAGTCAGTCGTGTTCATGCGTCTCCTTTTTACTAGGTCGGGCCAAATCACCATTCATCAATTGCCCCCTACTCCTTGGGCCAGGGATCTCGACCCGGTGCGGGGAGTTCACGACGAGGTGGATTTGGCACGAGGTCTAGGCAGTTTGCCGGGCGAATCATTTGGTCGGACCTGTTCAAACTTTCAGCTCAACCAGTAATAACCCAGGTCGCGTCAGGTGTACGCGCGGACGTCACGTTGTTTATGGACTCTGCAGACGTCAAAAGCGGGCTCAACCGATTTCGTCCTCGGGTGTCGTGCAATCGGTTTTCATGAGAGTCGTTGGATCAAGCAGGTCTCAGTCGTTGATCACCTCGCGGTGAACTATAAATAGGGGGCCGAGGGACCCCTCTTCTTCGCCAAAAATCCTGTGATTGAGCTCTCCCGAGGTCGCGTCAAAGTCCTTCAACTCGCTACTTCCTCCTTTGTATTCCAATGTCGTTTTTTTTTTTGGTGAGTTCATCTTTTCTTAGTTTGTTCTCCTTTCTTGTTCCTGTTTCAACATGTCTAGTGCTAGCATAGATAGGCTCCTTGGTGATTCTAGTGGGCTCAAGGGTGCCAAGGTGCAGTCATCGGCTCCCGCTGGCAAAGTCAGCTCCTCGCTAGGTAGTTCCCCCCTTCGCCCCTTAGAGGAAACCTCTTTACCTAAAGTTGGGTCATCACGGCCTGAGGAGCCCGTATCTCGAGAGGAGGGACCGAGCTCCGGAGAGGGGCTCCCATCTTCTTCTCGGGGTTGGGATCCGGATGAGTTCGGGCTTTCTACTATGACCTCGGACAGGCTACTGTCCTTGGTAGCCCGTTATCGTCTTCCTGATAACTTAGTTTTTAGTCTTCCCTTGAGTCAGTATCCTTGGGTTCATGGTCACCACGAGCTCGCAGTTTTCGAAGAGCAGCTCGTAGCCGGGCTGCGCTTCCCGCTCCACCCATTTATTATAGAAATAATCAAGTTTTTTGACATCACCATCGGCCAACTACACCCGAATCCATCCAAACTATAGTAGGTACCATCTCCCTGTTCCACGAGTACAACCGACCTCTGTCCTTAGACGTTTTTAGTTCGGTCTGTTCAATAAAAAAGAACTCCGCTTGTCTACGCGGTGACGTTCGACAAAGTTACTACATCTCTCCTCGGCCCGGGTTCACAATCCTGTTCAGCAGCCCAAACAAAGTACCGGCCTGGAAGAGAAGATACTTTTCTGTTCGAAACCCTGAGGGATGGCCCTTCCCGACTCACTGGAGGGTGGCTATCAAAGATCCCGGGGTAAGGTTAGATGCAAAGACTAGGGCGGTCGTTAACTCCTAGAGGGACCTCGGCCTGGAGATGAGAGATTTCTTGGCTGAGGAGAAGCTTGTGCGAGTTGGGCTGAGCCCTCCTGGTAGGCTTCCACCTCGGTACTTATTTACTTTGAATTTTTTTTCTTTAGTTCGTGACTAACTTTTTCTTTTCCTATTGCAGTAGCTATGACGGAGATCGATGCAGAGAACCTTCTGAAGAGCTTTTAGAGAGGGAAGAAGAGGAAGGCCTCAAAGAAGGCTCGTCGGGAGGCCGGTCCTTCTGCCCCCGTTCCGCCCGAGGTCGCTGCGCCGGAGCCGATCTCTGCCGAGCTTCCGGAGGAGGAGGTCCGTCCCCAGCCTCCCATTGTGGATCTGGGCGAAGACCAGGACGAAGGCGTTCCGCCTCGCAAACTGGAGAGCACTTCCGCGCTCAAACCTCAGCCCTCGAAGGAGAGTATAATGACCCCTTGGCTCGGGCTCCTCAAGAGTAAGGACGTTGTTTTTCCTATCGAGGTCGTGGAGTGGGCCAACATGCCTACAAGCCAGCTCAAAGGCGGGGCTGCCAGCTATTGCATGGTGGTCAGTATTCTAACTTTACGCTTCATTTCCTTGTCTGCTTTTTTAAGTGTACTTACCTCTGCTTCGTTTGATAGGTGAACTCCACCATTCACTCGTTGGTCTACCAGTCCGAGGTCCGCCTGAAGCAAGTTCGAGAGGCCGAGGAGAATGCACGGAAGCTTTACCGCGAACTGGACTTAGCTCGAGGTGAGATTCTTCAGGCTAAGAAGGGAGCTCGGAGTCAATAGGAGCTGATCTTGGCACTGACTAAGGAGAAGGAGAAGCTTCAGTGCGAGAATGAGAACCTTGAAGCAATGATCAAAGAGCGCACTGAGATCTTCGAGACCACCATTCAAGAGGCGCAAGCTGAAGAGAGGGAGCGTGCCATCGAAAGCTTCAAGGAGTCTCTGGAGTTCCACAATCTCCAAGTCGAGTACGGATCGAGCTCTTACCGGTCTGGCTTCAAGCTATGTAAATATCTGATGCGGTTGAAGTTTCCCGATCTGGACATCGGAGTTGTTTCTATGTTCGACCTCACTCCCGAGACGGCGAAGGCGGCCAACGAAGAATTTGGTTCCTCCGAAGATGAAAGCGACAATGAGATTCCCGAGGCGGGCCCGTCAGGCCGAGAGGACGCGGAGGAGGATCATATGGAGACCGATCTGCCTAGTAGTCCGAATGCATGATTCTTGCCTCTTTCCTTGGACCCTTATGATGTACACCCCGGGCCTCCGAACTCGGTTTATAGTGAAAGTTTCTCCTTTTTCTTCCTTTTGTACTCAAAATTTTATATCAATGAAATGCAAACATTTTGACTATCTTCGTGCAAAAAATTTCAAAGTGTTAATAACTCCCAAACTGGCGAACTAAACCAAGTAGGAGTAAAAATGTGTAGGTTACCCCAACTGTCAAGTTAACGAGCTAGACTACGAGTAGGGATAACTGAAATAAAATTTTTCCAAGTGTAGGTTACCTCGAACTGTCGAGCTAACGAGTTGGACTCCGAGTAGGGGTAACTTATCATTATTGTACACCGAGGTGGGTTAGA